AGGGCCTCCTTGTTGCTCCCTTCTGTGCTGCAGGAGCGGGGCTCGGGCGCGGTCCTGGAGGCGGGCGAGGGGTGAGCGCCCAGCGCGGGCATTTCTCGGGGGGGGGCTTCCTTGGAAGCAGGCTGAGAGCCGCTGGCCTGACACCTCTGCCTCGGATGCTGGAGAACAGAGCTGAGGAAACCCTGAGGGCTCAATGCAAAGTGTGTGTTGCGATGAGGGAGGTGGGGAGGGTCCTTCTCTGAGTAGGGGGTGGGACTAGATGCCCACACTCCTCCCTTTCTGTGATTCAGTGTGGCTGTATGTGCTGGGAGAGAGCTTGAGGGCCTCAGGGAGGGGGAAGGGCGTATGGAGCCAGTAGTGTAAATGATCAGATCCTTAAGAACGTGTTTACTGCGATCCCTCCATGTGAGGGGGTTCTCTGCCACACTGCATGCAGATGGGTCTTGAAATGACTGAAAAGTCCAGTCCTTGAGGCACTGACCTGTCCTCAGAAGTTGCAAGGCTTCCCGCAGGGGGGAGTAGGTCGTAGGCTGAGATTCCTGTCTGGTTCCTTCTTCCCTTCCTTTTTCCTGTGTGTGGAGAGGTAGTCAGCTATGTTCAGCTGGAGTTGGGTGCATGTCAGGGCCCAGTTGCACTTGACAGGCTGGTTCAAGGATGAATAAGCATTAGAACCTGATGAAGTAAGCAGCTGCTTATGAGAGCTTATGCCAGCGTTTCTCAACCCGTGGGCCATGACCCAAAAGTGGGTTGTAAGAATATATGAAAGGATCTCAAATAAACTTTAAAATGGATTTTCCTTTAAAGGAGAAAGACCTGGGAAACCGTGGCTTTTCCCTTGCAGGCTGGCAGAGTTCCAGGCTGCCAGAGGCTGCTTGTGCCCTCCCTCCTGCCCCACACACTGGGGGCTTGGGGGTGGGAGGCAGCAGGTCAGAAGTGAGGGGCACTGCATTGGGACTGGCCACCAATGTTTACAAATGGGTCCTGGTACAAAAAAGGTTGAGAACCACTGGCTTATGCATTGCTGAATTAGTCTATGTGATGTAACTCTGCCCTGCCAGACTTCCATCATTAAAATACTGATCTGAAGGTCATATCAACTTCCTCAGCATGTTGTTGTCTTTGAGGTATGTCTGTCAGCCTCATTTTGACCAAGCAGTGAACTCCATGAAAGCTGTTAAATCTACCAGGAAGATCACTGAATGAGCCATTTGGCAAGAGCAGACATACTGGTTGAAATCCTTATAGTGCCTAATACTCCTTTAATCATACTCTCTGCAGTTAGTGCTGAAAGGAGCTGAACAAGTGGAAAGGACTTGAGTAAATACATAAGTTCAGTCTGTTTTGTTTTGTGATGTCTTTGACTGGACTGAAAATGTTTTGTTGTCCAAATGGATATAATGAATATTCTTCATGTTCAGGACCTTGTACTTTGGACATATCATTTGTTTCTGACTGAAAATGCCCATAGCTTGGTAATTATTTGAAAAAGCAACTTTTCTAGTGTGTTCTTATTCCCTTTTTATTTCTAGGCCTTTATTTCTGAATAGGTGTATGCTGTACCCCAGACGTGATGGAAAACGCTGAAGTTCTAA